CAACGAGAAAATTAAAAAGAAAATGTGCTTCACTTAAAGACAAAAGAATTTAGGACTGTAGCTACAGCCCAGATGTCTGCTGATACTCTTTACCTTACATACATGTATTTTGAGGTCTAGTACACGAGGCAGCACGTATATTAATTCATGAAACAATTTCACTCCAATAATCACTTACACCGTCAGCATCACTGTCCCCGGGGTCGCCTCAGCCACTCTGAACCATCAAGTTCCATTTTCCAGAGCACCTCACCTCTGCATCTACCCAACCAGCCATGACAGAGCATTTCTGGGACCCACCCATGGTGCCCTCCATGGAAACTCTACCCAGGCCATCAACACCCACCCAGGTGGGCATAACGCTTCTCATTCATCACGCACTGCACCCACTGATGGTGTAAATACCCCAAACTGGCTTCCACTGAGGTTGTTTTAGCCCAAACAGCGCCTGGTTGTTGGGAATAGGGTAACTGAGGGAGTGCCCTGTAATAGTAGAGATTTGAACCACGTGGTGCCGCCCTCTTCGGCGGGCGAACTGCCTTATAATCAGGCGGATACCGCATATCCGTGAAGTTAATTTTGCAGAGGGAAGACCTCAGGGTTCCTTCATGCCTCCTCTAAGAGCTCTTTCAGCTTCCACACTCGGATTAAAATGTCTGTGTCTGGCCCGGCCGGGGTGGCTCAGCGGCTGAGCGTCGACCTGCGAACCAGGAGGTCACGGTTGGGTTCCTGGTCAGGGCACATGCCCGGGTTGTGGGCTCCATCCCCAGTAGGAGGTGTGCAGGGGGCAGCCCATCCATGGTTCTCTCTCACCATGGATGTTTCTCTCTCTCTCTCCCTCTCCCAGAATTCCTCTCCGAAGTCAATAAAAATATATTTAAAAAGAAACAAACAAAAGCCTGTCTGGGCTAAGCCGTCATTTTCCTTCAGGAGCCACAGGCACACAGTTCGCTGCCAGGACAAGTGGACGGGCCGTCTCTACCTTCAATCCAACCCCACACACCCGCAGGCCCTGTTAATCCAAAGAGCTAATCTGACGGCCTCTGTGCTCGTCTTAAAAACGTCCCACTGCTTCCGCCCGCGTGGAGGATGAAAAGCCCTCCGTCTCCATCGTGTCATTTCAAGGTTACTCCGACCCACCTGTGTGTGTGTGTGGGGGGGGGAACACCCACCTTCTCACTTCAGGGGCTTTCCTCAGGCTCCTCCATTCACTGGAGCCACCCACACTGGCCCTCCAACCTAGTCGGGCTACGTCCTACCCAAGCGTCACAGCTCAGCTCAGCTGCGCCATCTTTTCCTTCCAAAAGCTTCCTTGAGCCCAGCTGGTGCGGCTCCGTGGTTGAGCGTCAGCCTAGGAGCCAGGAGGTCACGGTTCGATTCCCCGTCAGGGCACATGCCCGGGGTTGCGGGCTCCATCCCCAGTGTGGTGCAAGCAGGAGGCAGCCGATCAGTGATTCTCTGTCATCATTGCTGTTTCTCTCTCTTTCTCCCTCTCCCTTCCTCTCTGAAATCAATAAAAATATATTTTTAAAAAACCAACCACATACAACCGCCTCCGCCCAAATACACACACAGTCCCTGAGCAGTGAAGTGAGACCTTCACCCAGTTTCAGAGGGAAGAGTGCACGCAGACCTGAGGCAGGAGCCTCGGAGCCGTGCCAACAGACGCCCATCGGACTCGTCGCTGATCGCAAAGAAAAAGGCTTTGGTTTTTCTAGTTTAACAGTGACTTTCAAGGCGGGAAGGATGGGGGAACCTCGTAAGAGAAAACCAGTTAGTTTGCTTCACGTTTCACACAGCGAACTCAGGCCTACAGGGCACCTGGAAGGCCTTTCGACAGAAAGGGAGTGATGACAGCTAACAGTTAATATTCACAGCGCGCTGCCCACCCATGGGGCCCTTTCGCCTACCCCAGCGGTTCTCAACCTGTGGGTCGCGACCCCTTTGGGGGGGGGGTGTCAAACGACCCTTTCGCAGGGGTCGCCTAAGACCATCGGAAAACACATCTATAATTACATATTGTTTTTGTGATTAATCACTACGCTTTAATTATGTTTAATTTGTAACAATGAAAATACATCCTGCATATCAGATATTTACATGACGATTCATAACAGGAGCAAAGTTACAGTGATGAAGTAGCCACGAAAATAATCTTATGGTTGGGGGTCACCACAACATGAGGAACTGTATTAAAGGGTCGCGGCATGAGGAAGGTTGAGAACCACTGGCCTACCCTAGTCCTTCCTAGGTCCCCCGTGCAAGCCCCACCTCAGTGGCTCCATTTTGCAGAAGAGGAAACGAAGGCGCGCGGAGGTTACACACGGTTCCATGGTTCCAACCTCAGGCCTGTGTAGTTAGTCCCCGAGCCCCCACCCACCACGCGAAGTTTCTCCGAGTGTAAAGGTGTGGCACACACTCCCCTTCCTACTCTCCTTTGTAAGATTTTTACGCAGAGCCGGACCCAGGCCGGGGAACGCGGAGGCGGCGTCCTCAACTCCCCATCCCTCCATCCCCCCCCAACTCAGATATAGGACACACTTGTTTCACCTCCTACGGTTCCTCCCAACACAGCACCCAAATGCTGCTCCTGAGCGGGAGCGACCATCCCCAGGTGCCACCCTGCAAGGTCAGAGGTGAGTTCACGGCCGGCGAGCGCCGCGCGGGGCTGGCACCCACCTTTCGGTGCTAGAAGCCCACGCGCCCGCCGCGAGATGCGCACGATGCAGACACTTTGGCACGTGCCGGGCGAACGCAGCAAGCTCTCCCGGGCGCCACTTCCGCCAAGTCTAACCGGACAAGACATCCCTGTCCTGACCATCCACTCGCTCCGGACCCCACGCCTTACCTGGCGATCGCGAGTCCCGCCTAAGCGCCCCCCTCTCCCCCGGCTGTCAGGCGCAAAAGCCCCCGCAAAGGCCACCTGGCAGGTCGGTCTCCGCCGGCCACCACCCCCGGTCTCCCTCCCGATCTCCCCTGTCACCGGAGCAAGTCGGTTTCACATCCTCCGCCCACCATCACCATGTGCGAAGTTGACTCTTGAGTTCGCCCCAAAGACATTTCCTTTTTCCTTCCACGAGAAGGAGACCTGGACCCGGTGCCCTCCCCCCGCCTCCCAACGCCTGGCGGGTCGTCCCAGCCGATC